CTAAATGTGGGTAAATACCTAGAGGGGTAAGATTGAGTTAGGTTAGGTATGGTGAAGATGGGATAGGTTAGTTTAGTTTAGGTAAAGTTAGCTTAGGTAAGGTTATATTAGTCTAAGCAAGGTAAGGTTAGGTATGTAAAAGTTATGCTAGGTTTCGTATGCCGTTTGGTTAGGTATGCTAGGTTAGACTAGGCATGATAATATTAGGTAAAGTTATTCTAGGAATATGTGAAAATATGATATAAAATCTATTGGGAAAATGCTCTTAATAAATTTATCAAATGGAATTTATATTAAAAAATATTTGAAGAAACAGATGAGGGAAGGGTGAAGAAAATATCGAGAAATGTCTTAGATAAATATGGTAAATATAATTTAATGTTAATAAATGTGAAGATAGATGAAGGTAGCGTAAAAAATGGGAAAATGCCTTAAATAAGTATATTAAATTTAATTTAATATTAAAAAATATATGTTGGGAAAGAAATGTCGATAAATTTATTAATATAATCTAAATAAACAAATGTGAAGATGGGCGATAATGGGATAAAAGTAAATCTTATTTATTGTCTTCAATAAGAAAAACGTAGTAATAGTGTTGGTAGAATTACCGACAGTTTGTTAGGTCACTTACGAAACTAATGTGACATATCATTGTGGCAACCTTTCGCTTTCCAGGAACTTTGTCAAGCAGTTACGTCTTGACAAAGCTACTCCGACATTGTGCCCAAACATTATCTCAAAAGGGTCGTAACTGATGGATTCCTGAACAGTTTTCTTACTACAAAGAGCAGCAGATGTAAGTAAAGAATCATCCCAGTCTGTAGGACTGGAATGATCATAGTTTTCAAGGTCTGACAGAAGTTTTCAAATGCGCCTTGTGAATGAAGGTGATAAGACACTGAAAAAACCTGTCAAATGCCCAGATGGCTCAAAACCCCATGAAATTCTCAAGTCTAACTGTGAGAGCAACTTTCCACAAATGCAGATGAAGTAAGGCTGAAAGGTCTCGCATAAAGTTTGAAAATAAAATCAAACCTGGCTTAATTAACAGAAAGTGGTTGCAGCTTTGCTGTTGTCAGTGACAGAGTTTTGGTATACAAAAGATCTCTCCACAGTTCTTTTGCAACTTAAGTTTTTTTTTTTCCTTTCACAAGTGTTGGAAAACGAATAACTAGTTTCACAGGTGGTTTCAGGCTTAGTTTACTTGAAAAAGCTTCAGTGGGATCCAGCACACGAAACACAGCAAGAATGCTATCGTCTTCCAAGGAAAATCTCCTCATCATCAGCACGCATAGTTCTCAAAGACGCTACGGTACTTAAAAGAAATGGGTAAGTCCGAGGTACCAGGTGTAAAGTGTTGGGACTGAAATTCGATGTTCATCTTGCCGACTTTACCCACAGTGTAATAAAAAACAATATATGTTTTGTTACATGTGCCATCATTACTTTATGTATCTGTGCACCTCCTCCAGTTTTGTCCTTACTTGCCTCGCTTTGAAATTACAGCTGTAAAAGCTCCCAACTGTTGCAAAATTCTTGATATTACTTAGTTTCTAGAAAGCCACCTGCTGGAACTTATGATCCTGTCTGCTACAACGTGAAAAATAGCAGCATATGTCTTTTAGAAAAGATTCCAGCCACGAGGGTAGATAGCTTTCGTTTAATTTACACTAACAGATGTGCTCCTCTCAGTGTATACACACCCAGAGATATACACTGAGAGACATGCATATACATGTGTTGGTTTGCACAGAGACAATTAAACATGTGGAATATGGACAATAAATAGGAAGGAATAGGATGGAATAGAATAGGTTCACTGAAGAACATAGAATAAGGACAATAAATGGGATAGAAGTTAGTCAAATAAGAAAGAATAGGGATAAAATATGTTACAATAAGGACAAGAGAGAACATGGACAAAATAAGTCAGAAAACAATAGAATTGTTTCAAAATAGAGACAAAGGAGGTTTGACTAGGGACAAAAGAAAAAAAAAGACAATCGATGAAAATAAAACACCTGATAAACCAAATATTAGTTTTATTCACAGAGAAAGACAATACTAAGGTTTATATTCTTAAATGATTTAGTATCACAGTTTTATATTCTTCCTCCAAGGCTGCCGAAGAGCTTTCGATCCAAGGAACTGGATCAAATATTATCTAAATCCATCTTGTAATGGGGTAACTAAATAGTTAAAAAAATAGAGTTGATAATATGTATGTGTCTAAATACACTTATAAGAGCACATGTGAAATTAACATTGGTCAAGAATGTACACTGATATATACACTCAGTGTACACTGAGATATACACAACTTTCAGTATACAGTATATGGACTGATAAACACCTACTTAACTGTAAATTCACTGAGAGATACACATTTTTCGCTGTATGTGAACTGAGATATACTCTCCTCTCAGTGTATGTAAACTGAGATACACGCCTTTCTGGATATATTCACTGACATATACGCATTTTTCAGCGAATATCCTCTGATACGCCTTTCAGTGTATACACATCGAGATATGAAGCTCTCAATGTATATAATACACACCTGTCGGTGGATATACACATAGAGATAAAATCTCTCAGTGGATATACTCTGAGAAACCTAATTCTCAATATATACACACTGAGATATTCAATTCTCAGTGCCTATACACCTATCATTGCATATTTACAGAAATACACACATCTCATTGTATACACAATGAGAGATAAACACCACTCAGTGCATGTACAGTAAGAGAAACACTTCTCAGTGCATGTACACTAAGGAATACACACCTCTCAGTGTGTATGTGCTGAGACAAACACACACATTTAGGTATATATACTCTATGCACACACACTACTAATACACTATATGCTCTTGATGTACACTGAGATACACAGCTCTTGGTGAATAAACGGCTAGGGATACATAGTTCTCATTGTGTGTGTGTGTGTGTGTGTGTGTGTGTGTGTGTGTGTGTGTGTGTGTGTGTGTGTGTGTGTGTGTGTGTGTGTGTGTGTGAGTGATTGTATAGTTAAAATTCTTATTGTAATTATCATAATTAGTTTAAGGAACTGCTGAGTTGTTCCCTCACGTTGTCATTTGTGCAAGACTTGGTTATTAAATAACTATAGCAACCAGTTGAATTATTTATAGGTTATATTTCAGTTAAAGTTAGAGATTAGTGGACGGAGGATCGAACCTACATCACACCATGTGCTATAAGGATTCTTAGGTTAAACGCCTATCTACTGATTGGTTCCTAAGGATTAAGTCCAGTCACTTACTTGAGGGTCATTAAGACTGCATGTAAACTGCACACCACAAATCAAGGATACTTTAATTCGTACATAGTGATTAACATAAGCTCCCAGAATATATTTATTGTGGATATATACACCACTCATTGTGTATACATTATGGAAAGAATATATACTTCAAGAAAAACACTTCTCAGTGTATATACTCTAAGAGATGTATATAAATGATTCACATAACAGAATAATCTCATTCGAGACAGCAATGAATATATATATATATATATATATATATATATATATATATATATATATATATATATATATATATATATATATATATATATATATATATATATATATATATATATATATATATATATATATATATATATATATATATGTCTTTAAATAAAATATATATATATATATATATATATATATATATATATATATATATATATATATATATATATATATATATATATATATATATATATATATATATATATATATATATATATGTCGTGCCGAATAGGATTTTCAAGAACTCATTTAAAATTAAGTCCTTTCTAAAATTTTCACTTATACGTTTAAAGATATTTTTTTCATTTATGTTAATGTAAAAATTAATAATTTTGTACCAAAAGGACCTAAGAAAACTTACCTAACCTTAAAATAACAAGCGCAGTTTAATTTAGCCTAATACAACTAAATATATTTTAGATAAGTTTACAATAATTTAATAATAAACAAACACAATGAAATATATTTTTTTTCGTTAGGTTCAGAATAATTTTTGCGAAATTATTGCTTACACAAATTTTCGCAAGAAGGCATTGCTATTTGAGCCAAAGTCGCAAGTTTTCCCATATATATCTAGGTAGTAGGTTGGTAGACAACAACCGCCCATGGAGGTACGACCGTCCTGCCAAGTGAGTGCAAAATGGAAACCTGTAATTGTTTTACACGATGGTACGATTGATGGTGTTTGTTTTCCGTCTCATATACATGCAGGGTTTCAGGTACGTCTTGCTACTTCTACTTACGCTTAGGTCACACTACACATGCATGTACAAGCATATATATATATATATATATATATATATATATATATATATATATATATATATATATTATATATATATATATATATATATGTATATATATATATATATATATATATATATATATATATATATATATATATATATATATATATATATATATATATGTGTATATATCCCACTTACGAAACTTAAATAGCCACCAGTAGCTAACTACCATAGGTGATGTTGGCATTGTTTGCCAGCCATATATGGGTAGTTTTATTGTGGGTACCTATGACACCGTGGCTGGAACATTTCAAAACTAACTACAGTATCGTGATTGGAACAATTCACACTTAAAAAACATTCCTGTGGATGGCTTGATCACAAATAACTCATAATAATGTGGTTGAAACACTTCATAACTAACCCACAATACTATGACCGGAACAATTTACAACTAATCCAGGAATATCAAGTTTGCACACCATTCTTTTGAAGACTTACTGGTGAACTGGTCCGGTTGTACTGCATACTTGTGGTATGTGTCATAGCCTGTCCTGACGAACCTCTTTTACCCTCTCACTCTTAACCTACTTGGATTATCCCAGATTCAAGGGCCCCTCTCCTGCCCTACTTAAGTTATCCCAGTATCAGGTACCCTTTCTCAAGTACCATTTTCAGTGCCGCTAATCAAGGTCCCTCTCTTAAGGAACCATTAAAGGAGCAAATTCTTGCACCACGAGTTCTAAAAGGCCAGAATTTATCATTGAATGTTCATTTAGTTTACTTATTTGTGGCCAAATATTCGTTGTTGTTTTTTTAAGCTTATGTGACCCAACCCAATCTAACCTAACCAGACCTGAAGTGAACTATTCTAACATAATGTAATCTAATATAGCCTACCATAACGTAGCCTAACATAATCAATCCTAACCTAATGTAGCCTAACCTAACGTAATCTGAATTAAAGGAATCTAATGCAACAAAGTAATACAGCTTATCTAACTTAACCTATCCTAACCTAACTTCAAGTAAAAGAACTAGGATTTGAAAAATAGGAATCACTAAGAAATTGAGTACACTGGACACCATTTCCAAAACTGACGTTATTAAAATAAGGATAAGTTGCTTGAAGACTTGTTCCAAGGAGCCTGATAATATTATGGCAGGGGAGATGCTGCTAGTCGCACAATTCTTGGAGCTCTTAGTTCCTGGCAGACCTTTAGGTCAATAGATGAGCCTGCGATGCTGTCTACCTCCTCAATGGTAGCAATGGAGGCTTCAGTGTATGGAGTAGTAACTCCAGTTCGTGAGGTATACGGGGTCCGCTGGGGGCCTCTTGGTCCCGGTGGACTGTTGTCATTATTGTTCCGGCTCATCAATTTTTGTGAAGAGTCCTGGTCGGCGGGTTCGTGAGTGTAATACAAGGCCGAATGTCTTCTGGCTAAGAGGAAAGCAGCAGCTACTACCAACAGCAGAGCCAGCACGAGCCCGCACCCGACACCCACGATCAGCGCCATATGGTCCCCGAAAAACACGTCGAAACTCTCCTCTTCTGCAGATTCTTGTGGGTGCTGTTCGTTGTGTGAGCGTGGATCGTCATTCTGGGCGCCTCCAAGCCAAACTGGCCAGGCAGGGGCTTCCTGGACACATTCAGGAATGTGGGTTTTGTTCAGAAGCTGTAATTCCTGGCCCACTAGTTCCTGTGGCCCTGCACATCTCAGGCAGCGTGGGGATATGGGCATATCCCGACATACGGACTCTGCATGAGGGTGGTGAGAGGCATTGGGATCTCTCAGCCAATCCAACATGGGTGCCACGTGACATCGCTGGCACTGCCATGGGTTTCCCTGCATCCAGACTTGCTCCAGTGATGCCATGGTGGTAAAGGCAGTGACCAGGTCTTGCTGCAACCCTCGGAAGTTGTTGTGCGACAGGTCCAGAGTTATCAGGTGAGGTGTGGCGAACAATGCAGATACTGGAAAATCTGAGAGGAAATTTCCGGACACGTTGAGAATCTTGAGGTGTCGTGACTGCCGAAGTAGGTCCCCAGGAAGGTGAGTCATAGTCAGTTCACTTAGTTCCAGGTGCCTCAACTGTCTGGCTCGAGGAATAACTTGAAGCAATTTATCCACTCTAATTGGGTTGGCAGTGAGTCTTAAATACCTCAGCCTAGTAAAACCATCACTTAGGGCGTCAGAACGAAGCCGTGTGAGTCTGTTGTATGCCAGATCTAAGAAGGTGAGAGATGAATTTGCCATAGCTTGTGGACTCATGGTAGACAAGCGGTTGTTGGACAGAGTGAGAGTAGAGAGTGGTGGGCCAGACAAACCATTAGATATCAGTGCCGATATGTGATTACTATCAAGGTTCAGTGTCACTAAATGCCTCGATAGAGCCAATGGCGGTACCTCCGTCAATCTGTTCTGACGAAGATCCAGCAGACGCAACTCTGGCAGCGCCTTCATGAGTTGTTCTGTCACAGCCTGAAGGCCACACGCAGCACATCTCAACTCCCTCAGATTGGGAGCGTCGGTGAAGCGATCAGGTGGCAGGATTCCCAGGGGATTGTGACTGATATCCAGCGCCTCTAAGAGTGAGAGGCCGTACAGTACCCTGGGAACGACCTCCGGAAGACGGTTATTAGCCAAGCTGAGGTAACGAAGGTGTCGAATATGACGGAACACCGCCGATGGCACGGATTCCACTTGGTTATGGCTAAGATCTAACGTATGCAAGCTGTCAGCACCGCGAAAATTGGTATCAATAAGGGCAGTAATGGCGTTATGGGACACATTAAGGGTGTGGAGACGTCGAAGGCCCCAGAAAGAATGAGCACCCAATGCGGGCACCCCAGAACCGGTTACACTCAACATCTCAAGACGTCGATGACCCTTGAAGATTGGACCTAGAGTCAGGGCATTGGGTCGCCCTGGTGGAGACCCGACCTCCAACACCTCTACGTCAGAAGGCATCTCCAGCACCGGAAGGGGGTCGACCAGGCCTCCTGTGTTACATATCACTTGACGGCGACCACGGGGATCCAGCGGACAGAAGCACACGCTGGGGCATGAACTGGGGGAGGCCGCCGCCACACAAGACGCCAGCATACACAGCAGCCATAGCAGCATCTGAAAGATAAGATGGTTATTAGCTTTCTATTTATCACCTCCAGAGGATTATCACTAGTAATCTTTCTTAATTCGATTGCAAAGGCAACGGCTCATGTGGCATGCAAAGAGTACATAACCTTTATTCGGCGCATGTACACACCCTCATTGAAAGGCTATCTCCCCAACCAGCGAACCAGGTACTAAGGGTTGATGATGGGGCCCCGTCGTTCAATCAGTACTCAGGTTCCAGCCAATGAGAAGATGGTTTTGGCAATCGCAGAGGTGTTGTGGGCACCACTCACCTGTTTGCCCTTGTCATTCCCATTCCAGAGCTGGTTGAAGCACGGTCTGCTCTCTAGTGGCTTCTAGTCTGCCTTGCTTACCGTGGAGTGCACTAATATCTATTGTTGTACATAGTGTATATAGTGTACATACTTCTGTTCTAAATTGGTGAAGGATAATACAAGTCAAAAGTTTTTCTGCTGTGTTTATTTTGTTCCCTTTACACCCAGGATAACAGGCCTTTGGGACTCCTGGGTTGTAATAGCTCAGGAAGAAAATTCTCGCTTTACTGTTAATAAAAACATAAATTATATACATCGATGGCTCTAAAAGAATACTGCAAAAGTTGCATCTGCTCTGTTTTCCACCTCCCTACACAAAAAGTATAGTAACCATATTGAGTTAGATATAAAAATTAATATTATGAATTGGTATGTTTGTCACACTGATGGCTCTAAAGTTAACTTATAACAATGGGCTTGACTCCTTGATCATTACCGATTTTACGTTATCACTTCATGCATTTGACTCACATAATGACTGACAACATGCTCAATGGTAAAGCCAGGTATAGATATTAAAAAAAGAGAAAGCAGTTATAATATATTTTTAATGAATTCTACCACACATTGAATTACTCCATGGTATGTAGCGCTGTGCGCCCCTTGTGGGTTAAGCGCTTAGTTATGATTATAATAATAATCTTTCACCGTAAAGCTGAACGTTCCGTCTAGGAAAAAAACACTAATATAAGCTTGGTTTGTTTGTGTCAAGCATTGGTAATAATATTAAGAGGGGAGAGAATAAAGACTCTGAATGCGATAATAATTCAATTAGAAGGTTGGTTAGATTTATGATGATACAGAACGGTAGATAAGCACATTTACGGAACAAATGTTCCGTAACGATGTTATAACCAAGAGAAGGTATCTCTAAATGTTGAAAATTATATGAAAAACCGACAAGTTGATGATTAAGATACAGGAGCAACAGCTATGTAGCTTTATTGCTGAAACGTTTCGTCAAATACAAATTCAGCAGGTGTAGTAGTGAAATAAAGAAGATGTAAGCAGTCCATCAACCTTGGAGAAATAGCAATTGAGGTGGTCAGTCCCTCAACCTGGAGAAGAGTCTAGCGCCATGGTCTGGAACGACATCGTTCCAGTGGTCAGTCCTGCGGTTACCTTATTGAACACAATGTACATCATTTTTCACTTATTGAGGGATATAGAGATAGATGCATAATTACCTGTGAATTTTACCAAGGCAACCTACTAATAATAATGAAAAGTCAGATATTTTGAGCAAACATCCTAAATTTTTCCTGTAACAGATGTAATGTAGATTGGAAATATTATTCAGATGTACTTCTTTTGGGCCAAAGCCGTAGGCCTCTCGTGTATGACTATGTTCTTGCGCTAACGCGCTTTGTAACCTAACACACACACACACACACACACACACACACACACACATGCATATCCAAAGGTACGTACACACACGCACACGCGCTCCCATGCACACTCACAAACACATAGATACACACACACGAACACACACGTACATACACACAGGAACGCACACACAAAGACATACACACAAAATAGGAAGTAATTTCACAGTCTGCTACACGTTATACACACAGGAATCTTGTTATCACTCACCCCAACACAGAGGTAACACCTAACACCCCATACACACCCAGTCACATCTACACACACACACACACACACACACACACACACACACACACACACACACACATGACATGCAAAGGTTTGTAACAAGACTAGTCCCAGAGCTAAGAGGTATGTCCTACGAGGAGAGGTTAAGGGAAATCAACCTGACGACACTGGAGGACAGGAGAGATAGGGGCGACATAATAACGACATGCAAAATACTGAGAGGAATTGACAAGGTGGACAAAGACAGGATGTTCCAGAGATGGGACACAGCAACAAGGGGACACAGTTGGAAGTTGAAGACACAGATGAATCACAGGGATGTTAGGAAGTATTTCTTCAGCCACAGAGTAGTCAGGAAGTGGAATAGTTTGGGAAGCGATGTAGTGGAGGCAGGATCCATACACAGCTTTAAGCAGAGGAATGATGAAGCTCATGATTCAGGGAGAGTGACCCAGTAGCGACCAGTGAAGGGGCGGGGCCAGGAGTTATGACTCTATCCAATCAACCACAACTAGGTGAGTACACACACACACACACACACACACACACACACACACACACACACACACACACACACACACACACACACACACACATCGGCCTGACCGACACTGGAGGACAGGAGGGTCAGGGGAGACATGATAACGACATATAAAATACTGCGTGGAATAGACAAGGTGGACAAAGACAGGATGTTCCAGGGAGGGGACACAGAAACAAGAGGCCACAATTGGAAGTTGAAGACACAAATGAGTCAGAGAGATATTAGGAAGTATTTCTTCAGTCACAGAGTTGTAAGGCAGTGGAATAGCCTAGAAAATGACGTAGTGGAGGCAGGAACCATACACAGTTTTAAGACGAGGTTTGATAAAGCTCATGGAGCGGGGAGAGAGAGGGCCCAGTAGCAACCGGTGAAGAGGCGGGGCCAGGAGCTAAGACTCGACCCCTGCAACCACAAATAGGTGAGTACAAATAGGTGAGTACACACGTGAAACAGTACTATTTACATCCCCCAGCAGGTGAAACATAACACCTCCCCTGACTCCCCCAGCAGGTGAAACATAACACCTTCCCTGACTCCCCCAGCAGGTGAAACATAACACCTTCCCCTCACGCACCCCAGCAGGTGAAACATAACACCGCAACAATATTTGGCAGAGGCGACACCAGCTTCCGGTTCCAGACTAAAGCTACTTCCGTTCATGACTGAATTACATGTTAAGCCTTGTTCCATTGATGTTTTTAATCTAAGGAACAAGAGTATCAGAAGTGTAGATGATTCATTACCTCTGTAACTTGCCATGATTGTGACCAGATCTACCTGGAGTTCATTACCTTTGTAACTTGCTCAGCTATCACAACTTTGGGGTCCAGTCCCTGGACCCATTATATACCTCTGTAATCTTTTGACTACCACCCTATCATCTTAGAATCTAACCTAATTACTTTTGATTCCACAGGTGCGGTATGACTCCTGCGGGTTTAGCGCCTCCCAGCAAATATAATGAAAATAATATTTTTTTTTTTTTGTGGAAGAACAAGGTATGGTGTCATGTCACGAGACAGTAGACGGAGGATCGAGCCCACACCTCTGTCAAGGATGATACACAGGCTTTGTGGACGGAGGTTCAAACTTCAATTAGACTCTGACCTCCTCCTCCTCCTCCTCCTCCTCATTTTCCCCCTTCTCCCGCCCTTTCTCCTCTTTCCCCTTCTCCTCCTCTTCCCCTTCTTCTCCCCTTTCTTCTCCTCTTCCCCTTTCTCCTCTCCCTACTCTTTTCCCCTTCTCCTCTACTCTTCCTGCACGGCATTTTTCACTTATTATCTATCACTCATTATTACGGTCTCTCTACTTCCTCTTTCCGCTCATATCTGCTTCCTGTTCATATTCTTTTCCTGTCCTTGTTCTCCCATCTTCGTCTCCTTCTTCATCTTTCTTATATTCTATAGGAATTTACCTCCTTTCCACACCTTTTATCCTCTCCTCCTTCACCTGTCTTCCTCTCCACCTTCACCTGTCTTCCTCTCCACTTTCACCTGTCTTCCTCTTCTCTTTCACCTGTCTTCCTCTCCTCCCAGAGAAGAGTGACAAAGTAAAAATCTGTAGAGAAATTCTAAAGTTTACATAATGCAATGTGTATGGTTTATATGCAACATTTTTTGGAACTAGACTAATTTCAACTTGATGCCTTAAATTGTATGTGATTACTCTGGATCAACTGCCATGTGCCAGTATGTAGAGTGCCATCTTAATCAACATTTCCTTAGTACTTTGGAAGGAAGAGGGAGGTGGCACTTATATCTTTTATCACTCATTGGCACTCTTGGGAAGTGAAGGAAGGGGTGTGGCACTCATAACTTTAATTATCAGTGGTTCTCTGGGATAATTAAAGAGGCAGTGGCACCTCTACCTTACTCATCACTCATTCGAACTCTGGGGGGGAAGGGATGCCACTGTCATCTCATTACTCACTGTTTGGCACTGTGCATGGAGGGAATTGCATTTGTACCTTGTTCATTACTCATTGGCACTGTGTGAAGGAGGGAGTGGAGGGGTGACCCTTCCGGGGGAGAGTGGGAGGGAGACTGGCACTCATATCTTGTTTATCGTTTGTTGGTGCAGTGGGTGAGGGATGAAGGAGAGACGCTACGAGGGGGGTGGCACTGAAGGGGGGAGGATTTATAGGGTAGCACTATAGGAGTGGGGGAAGAGTGGCACTGTAAGGGAGGTGCAGAAGAGTGGCACTGTAAGGGAGGTGCGGAAGAGTGGCACTGTCAGGGAGTTGGGGAAGAGTGACTCTGCCAGGGAGGTAGGGAAGCATCGTAGAGAAAAAAAAGAGGATTGCACTATGGGGAGGAGGGAGGGAAGGAGGATGTGGCACACCTATCTAATTCATCATTATTGGCACTGTGAGAGTAAGGAACTTGGCACTCCCGTCTTTTCCCCCCATCTATTTTAGTTTTGTGACTTCCCACCTATCCAATAATATACTCACAAGGAAGAACTAAACCCGCTGGGGCACATAGCACCTCGGTTATCAGGATATCAAA